ACGTTGCTGTGGCCAGCCTTTCCTCCCTCTTTCTCTCCTTCTTTCCCGCCTTCCTTCACTCCCTTTTTCCTTTCTTCCTCTTCCTTCCTTCCTTCCCTCCCTCTTTCCTTCCTTCCCTTTTTTCTTTCCTTCTCTCCTTCCTTCTCTACCTCTTTCCTTCTTCCTTTTTTCTTTCCCTTCCTCTTTCTCTCCTTTCTTCCTTCTCTATCTCTTTCCTTCCTTCCTTCGCTTTTTGCTTCTATCCTTCCTTCTCTCTTTCCTTCTTTCCTTCCCTCCCTCTTTCCTTACTTCCCTTTTTCTTTCCTTCTCTCCTTCCATCTCTTCTCTACCTCTTTCCTTCCTCCCTCCCTTTTTCTTTCCTTCCTCTTTTTATCCTTTCTTCCTTCTCTACCTCTTTCCTTCCTTCCTTTGCTCTTTGCTTCCCTGCTTCTTTCTTTCTTTCTCTTTCTTTCTTTCTTTCTTTCTTTCTTTCTTTCTTTCTTTCTTTCTTTCTCCCCTTCCTTCCCTCCCTCTTCCTTCCATTATCTGTATCGTCATTTAGCTTTTTGGGGTTTTTAACTCCTTTCTGCTGTTTTTTTTGGGGGGGGGGTGTATGAGTGATGGTCACTCGTTGGTCTGTTAGGGGTGTAGTGTCCAAATTTTGTGTCAATTCGCCCAGTGGTTTTTGAGTTATGTTAATCCAACAAACAACATTACATTTTTATTTATTTTATTGGGAGCTGAGAAACATTACAAACACATTTTAGTGACTGTGTGAAAGAAAATTGTTTATTCCAGTAAAAACTAAACTATCTTAACTTCTTCAAAAAAAACCTTACGATTCAGATACTACTTTTCACAACTTAAGTAATGGTAACATGTATCGGAATATGCTTTAAAAATAATTCAAGCATAGTGTAATTGTCGTCAGTTAAAAACAAAATGGAAACACAGTCCAATACCACAAAATGTATATAGTACATCTTTATGCACCTTCAAATTCTGAAATAACTGGATTACTTTAAATCGGTTTAATGAACCATTGTAAAGATACACCATATATTTCCAGTGATAGTGCCTCAGAAGAGTTCACGGATTCCATTAAAAATGCACCGTAGTAATGCTGAAAAAAGACTGTGAAGAGGAGAACAGGGGATTAAAAAAAATAAAGGCACTTAGAATCATTGCTTAGCAAAGAGTAAAATCAACAAAACGAAATTCCAAGAAATGGTGAACTCTTTTTCATGCTGCTGTTTTCCCATCATAGACTAAGTATCTAGTCCCTCCCTCAGCTCTGACCCCAGTCTTCTCCCACAGAGACACATTATTGTACTACTAGAGACTTGGACGATGTATACAGACATCCTCACAGTAAAGTACATACAATCACCTCTCTTTAACATACAACAATTAAATTCATTGCATTATTGTATTTCATGACATTTAGAGCTTAGTAGTATATACCGAAACTATAGAAAACTTTCAATACTAGCAATTTGAAGGACCTAGGAGAGGCAAAGAAAGGGTCACCAGTTTGTAAGCTTGATTTTATCATAAAACTAGCTGCCCCCTGCCACGCGTTGCTGTGGCCCAGCCTGGCGACCTGGAAAATAGTGTTGGCTTGTGGGTAAACAGTATTTCTTCTCAGTGTTGATGTAGAGATTGTCTGGTTTGCTTGCTCTGGAATATGCAACATATCATTGTCCTTCTTTAGTGGTCCCTTTGAAATCTATGATACTATATCTGGCTATAGGTGTGTGTGTGAATCATATCTATTTATCTATATCTAGGCTGGATGGCTCTTTCTCAGGAGGGTTTTGATTATGTTTTCTTGCCCTGGTGAAGGGAGTTGGACTGGATGGCCTTTAGGCAGCATTTCTCAACCTGGGGGTCGGGACCCCTGGGGGGTTGTGAGGGGGTATCAGAAGGGTCTCAGAAGACCACCAGAAATCACAGTATTTTCTGTTGGTCATGGGGGTTCTGTATGGAAAGTTTGGCCCAATTCTTTCGTTGGTGGGGTTCAGAATGCTCTTTGATTATAGGTGAACTATAAATCCCAGCAAATACAACTCTCAAATGTCAAGGTCTATTTTCCTCAAACTCCACCAGTGTTTACACTTGAGTATTCGTGCCAAGTTTGATCCAGATCCATCATTGTTTGTGTTCTGTTGTGCGCTGGGCCTGTAAATAATTGTCTTTAAATATGACTTGAGCCCAGCGGGAAGCCAGGGCCCCCCGAAGAGAAGTTCTCAGAGGTTTTCCACCACAAATGATCTTTAGATGGCTTGTGAAGTATAACAAAGTCCTTTATTAATGAACAATCAAACAGAAACTTCTCTTGTCTTCAGAAAGTTAAACAAATGATTCCAGGCTTTTATGCAACTGGTGGCTTCCTAATCTTGTCCACGAAGGACAGGCAATTGTCTTCAATAACTAATTCTTTGCTTTAAAGGAAAATCCCCTTTTTAACTTCTCCCAGGCTGACTGTAATCTAATTCTTACTGATGTGGGCTCCGCTACCGGGTCGAATTGCGTCTCGAACGCTGAGTGGACCTACCAGTAAGGCTAGTAGATTCTCCAGCTGGAGTTCTTTGGTCTTTAGGGCTGTTTCCCTGGAAATCTTTGGAGACTCTTAAGACTGTTTCCCCCGGAAAGTCTTAAGGGTTGAAGCTTTTGTACAGGGGAGGCTTGCACACGTCCTGTACATTAGCTTTCCTTGCTGAGACTAACTAAAAATGGCTCCCTTCCCTTCCCAATTGCCCTGAGCAAGGGGCAAACCAAAACTTAATGATGATGGACAGGTGACTTGCCCTATGACTGCAACCAAAAGAAGCCACCCTTCTGCAGACTCCTTGAAACCTTGGACTGCAAGCGAACATTTAATAAAAAGCAAATAAAATTGGAGCTCCTGGTACAGCCGTACCAGAACAGTTTGAGTCCACAGTGCTCTCCGGATGTAGGTGAACTACAATCCAAAACTCAAGGTCAAGCCCACCAAACCCTTCCAGTATTTTCTGTTGGTCATGAGAGTTCTGTGTGCCATATTTGGTTCATTCCATCATTGGTGGAGTTCAGAATGCTCTTTGATTTTAGGTGAACTATAAATCCCAGCAACTACAACTCCCAAAAGGCAAAATCAATTTTTTTGAGTGATGGTCACTCGTTGGCCTGATAGGCGTATTATGTCCAAATTTGGTGTCAATTTTCCCAGTGGTTTTTGAGTTCTGTTAATCCCACAAAAAAATTACATTTTTATTTATATAGATAGGAAAGGAAAGGATGGGCAAGTTACATAACCTAGAAATATGACATGCAGTAGTGGCTACAGCAGGAAGAAATGCAAAACATGCTGTACCAATGGAAATATGTTTGTTTGTTTTTTCACTTCCATGTGGCGGTGCAGGCACAGGGGAGACTCTAAGGGAAAGTGACCACCCATTCAAAGCCACCTATCCTGAATATGAAGTAGGCAACATATTTAACAAAGCATGTAAAGTATTACCTAACTATTATTGTACACAAGAAACTATTTGTTTTATAGTCCTCTCCCCACCTCCAGCTTCCATATCTGTGTTATTATATTATCAAAATTACATAGGGCATGATTTTTAAGGATAATAATGGTTTTCGGTGCTCTTGTAAACACAACTTTAGATGCTGTCATACCCATGATGAGGACACGTCATTAAAGTAATAACCTCAATGGCTTTTAGGGATCAAATTAATCTCTGCCATTTAATCCCTTACTGGAGCTGGTGAACACTATGCTGACTCCTGCCAGGAAATATAGATGCCTTAATGCTATTACTCTACCTTTTCAATAACTCTAAAAAGCCTGCCTTTTTTAACACTGGGTTTTCCTGTGATCCGTTTTGTAGGATTGGTTCTTGCTCTTCTCGCTGGCTGTTTTCTGCATTTTTAGTTTTCATATCTCCCTTGTATTCCCCTGTTAATAAATAAAAGAACCACAGTGAATGAAAGAGGAAAGCTGCTCTGAATTCCTTCCAGAAGGATAACTTTCCAATGACAGGCTTTTCATTTGGTTATAACCCTAGCTGGAATGTGTTCTATAGTTAGGTAATTTTTAATTCTTTACACGTTTGAGGGGGGTGGTGGTTCTTTTTTTTTAAAAAAAAGATATGGGATATTTGTTTTGTTAAATTATCATGTTTTTGTCATTACTCCACAAAACTCAAGATGGTGTATGAAGTCAATTTATCTTCTCTTTATAAGTATTTTTTTTGAAACGAGCAAAACATTAAGAGGTCACTTTGAAATCTATGATACTATATCTGGCATATGTGTGTGTGTGTGTGTGTGTGTGAATCATATCTATTTATCTATATCTAGGCTGGATGGCTCTTTCTCAGGAGGGTTTTGATTATGTTTTCTTGCCCTGGTGAAGGGAGTTGGACTGGATGGCCTTTAGGCAGCATTTCTCAACCTGGGGGTCGGGACCCCTGAGGGGGTATCAGAAGGGTCTCAGAAGACCACCAGAAATTACAGTATTTTCTGTTGGTCATGGGGGTTCTGTATGGAAAGTTTGGCCCAATTCTTTCGTTGGTGGGGTTCAGAATGCTCTTTGATTCTAGGTGAACTATAAATCCCAGCAAATACAACTCTCCAATGTCAAGGTCTATTTTTCCCAAGGCAACTTGGATTTACATGGCTGATGGGGGTTTCAATATGGGTACTAGCTGTACCCACCATGCGTTGCTGTGGCCAACCTTCCCTCCCTCCCTTTCTCTCTTCTCTCTCTCTCTCTCTCTCCTTCTTCCTTCCTTCCTTCCTTCTCCTCCCTTCCTTCCCTCTCCTTCCCTCTTTTTCTTTTCCTTTTCCTTCCTCTCCTTTCTTCCTTCTCTACCTTTCCTTCCTTCCTTTGCTCTTTGCTTCCATCCTTCCTTCTCTCTTTCCTTCTTTCTTTCCCACCCTCTTTCAATCCTTTCTTCTCACCCTTTTTCCTTCTTCCCTTCTCTCCGTCTTGCCTGGGCACCGGCAGGAAGGGAGCCTTGCTGTAGCCCTCAGCCTTGCTGGGCCAGGCGTAGGGCAGGCGGGAGGCGCTTTTCGAGGCAGGCCTCGCTCACCCAGCACCGCCCCTTCTTCTTTCTGCCATGGCTGCAGAGCGCCTTCCCTGTTTGGTGGTGGGCACACAAGCAGGGTCATATGAAAGACACCCTGGGGCTGTGGCAGAAAGAAGGGGCCAATGTGGGTGAGCAAGGCCCACTTCGAAAATGCCTCCCACCCCCACCGGGCCCAGCAAGGCTGAGGGCTGAAAAGCTCCCTTCCCGTCGGTGCCCAGGAAAGGGAAGGTGAAGCCTGGTGAGCAGTGTCCACACGGAGCAGCCACACACACCCCTTCTCCAGGGGGAAAAGAAGGAAAAGAGGTCTATGTTTGGTGGGGCTGACAAAGAGAGGAAGGAGAATGGGAGGGAGGGAAGGAAGGAAGGAGGGCCCAAGCATCTCGGCCTACGAGCCCACCAGGACTTTGAGATCGTCCGGGGAGGCCCTGCTCTCGATCCCGCCTGCCTCACAGGCACGCCTGGCGGGGACGAGAGACAGGGCCTTCTCGGTGGTGGCTCCTCGGCTGTGGAACACCCTTCCTGTGGACATCAGACTGGCTCCTTCCCTGATGATATTCCGCAGGAAATTAAAGACTTGGCTGTTCAAGAAGGCGTTCGAACAAGAAGTGCAATAATTGGTAATGACGACAGGAATGGAACCACGGAAAATGATACTGGATTGTGGTTTAAACGATGAGACGACATGAATGGCTTCTTGTATTATTGATGTTTTTGATGATGATATTTTTGGTTATTGCTAGATTGATATTTTAGATTGTGTCTTGAATTTTGAACCTTGTTCTTCTATGTTGTACACCACTGTGAGTCGCCCCCGGGCTGAGAACAGCGGTATATAAGCAAAGTAAATAAATAAATAATAAATAAGCAAGGCCCTGGCATAGTAGGGGAGGGTAGGCCCAAAGGCGAGGACGGTAGGTGCCCCGTGGGGGTGGCAAGTAAGAGAGAGAGGGGGAGACACCAAATTGGGGGCCTGGGGTAACCAAAGGTCTGCCTGCCCAGCCCACCAGAGCAGTCAACGCTCCCTGCTCGTGCAGGAGGGAGAGGGGCCAGTGGGTCATTATCATGCGTGCACTGTACCTTGTTTTATCATGTTTGGGTTTTAAAGTTCCTTTCACTGTTGGGGGGGTGGGTTGAGTGAAGGGCATACATTGGCCTGATAGGTGTATTGTTTCCAAATTTGGTGTCATTTCATCCAATAGTTGTTGTGTTATGTTAATTCCACAAACGAACATTACATTTTTATTTATATAGATTTATTGCATATATTTGAATCCCATCATTCTCACCCCTGGAGGGGGACTCAGGGCAGCTTCATGACAGGCATTCATTCAGTGCCAACAACAGTAAAACACTTGGTGTTCCAAGTGTAAGACAAATACTCGAACCACTAAATCATCACATGTGTCAAACTCAAGGCCCTCGGGCCAAATCCAGCCCGCCATGTCATTTTATGTGGCCATCCAAATGCTGAGTACAACTCCTGTATTCCTCATTGTTACACATAATGACAAGAGCTGATGGGAGTTGTGATACAGTTACATCTGGAAGGCTGCTGTTTGTTCTGTTCAATCAAGATATTGGGGTTTCAATTTAGATAAAAGACTTGTGGACATGATGCCTGACTTTAAAATGTCATTTAATCTTTTCCCAACCTCAGGGCCACAAGTGCTGTTGGGCTACAATTCCCATCATATTCAATCCATATGGCGAATAATCAAAAATTATGGGAGACGTCATTCAATAACATCTGGGGATCCAAATTATGCAAAAACTAAAGAACGCCAAAAACTATGAAAAAAAATAGTTGGCACTCTATAGCCATAGATTCTGCATCCATAAGGATGATGTGGCCCTCGATGAAAATGAGTTTGATACCCCTGCACTACATTACTATGCTGTTTGTAATTGCTATTGTGCCATTGTTTATGCATTTTGTATTTTGTGTGTTTGCACTATTGAGTGCTTTTGTGAGCTGCCCCGAGTCCCTTGTCCCTTTGGCCAGATAGTGATGGGGTATAAATAAATAAATAAATTATTATTCTTATTATTAATATTATTATTGTATTATTGCCATTGTTTATGCATTTTGTATTTTGTGTGTTTGTACTATTGAGTGCTTTTGTAAGCTGCCCCAAGTCCCTTGTCCCTTCGGGCAGATAGTGGTGGGGTATAAATAAATTATTATTATTATTATTATTATTATTATTATTATTATTATTTGAAACACAACAAGATGAGTCCACAGCAGACACTCTGCTGGCTGTTGTATTGGATCACACGTCGAACACTTCCCACACAGTGTCTAGGACTGTGTGATGTATCAGTGAATAATGTGTGCAGATCCCAGTAAGGTGGCCTTCTGCAGCTGGCAGATGGTAATTTTGTCAGCGCTGATTGTGTTTAAGTGCAGGCCAAGGTCTTTAGGCACTGCACCCAGTGTGCCGATCACCACTGGGGCCACCTTGGCTGGCTTGTGCCAAAGTCTTTGCAGTTCAATCTTTAAATCCTCATATCGTGTCAGCTTTTCCAGTTGTTCTCTTCAATCCTGCTGTCACCTGGGATTGCAACATTTATTATTATTATTATTATTATTATTATTATTATTATTATTATTATACTGTTATGGCTCTGAAATATATGTTGTTCAGTGATTTACTGTATGTTCAGGTCTACAAGACTAGCTATTATTATTTCTTCATAGATGCAGAACTGAGTAGGGGAGACCGTGACTTAACCAGGAGTCACTGAAACTGTCTTAGAAGTTGTGATGAGTCGAATCACAACTTCTAAGTAAATTCCTCTTCGTGGCATCACATTTTTAGAGCAATGGTGCACCGCTGTGCCCCTCCAGATGTTCTGGGCCATATCTCCCATTGCAGCTCCTTCTCATTGACTATGGGTAAGCAAAGGTGAAGAGGACAAAAACTTCTGGAGAGTTCAGCTCCCCTCCCCTTCTTTAGAGTAGTAACGTCATACTTACACAAACCTCTGTTGTCGTAACTTCTATCGACATTTGCAGAATTACAATACGGTCTATTCTGTGAAAAGAGAGAAAATTCAATCTTTCCCATTCTTCTAGTCTATATAAATAAAAATGTAATGCTAGTTTGTGGGATTAACAGAACTCAAAAACAATTGGATGAATTGACACCAAATTTGGACACAAGACACCTAACAACCCAATGTACGTCCTTCACTCAAAAAATTGATTTTGTCATTTGGGAGCTGTAGTTGCTGGGATTTATAGTTCACCTACAATCAAAGAGCATTCGGAACCCCACCAACGTTGGAATTGAACCAATCTTGGGACACAGAACTCCCATGACCAACAGAAAATACTAGAAGAGTTTGGAGGGCATTGACCTTGAGTCTGGGAGTTGTAGTTCACCTACATCCAGAGAACACTGGATCTGGACCAAACTTGGCACGAATATTCCATATGCCCAAATGTGAACACAGATGGAGTTTGGTGGAAATAGACCTTGACATTTGGGAGTTGTAGTTACTGGGATTTGTAGTTCACCTATAATCAAAGAGCATGCTGAAGCCCACCAACGACAGAATTGGGGCAAAAAAAAAATCATACTTATGGCCATCCAGTCCAATTCCCTTCACCAGGGCAAGAAAACGTAATCAAAGCCCTCCTGATGAAAAGCCATCCAGCCATAGATATAGATAGATAGATATGATTCAAACACACACAGAGATATAGTATCATAGATTTGAAAGGGACCCCTAAAAAAGGACAATTATATGTCGCATGTTCCAGAGTAGGCAAACCAGACAATCTCCACATCAACACTAACAAAGAAACAACAAGGAATACTGTTTACCCACAAGCATAAAGGAATTACATACATTAGAAACTATTGCTCTATTTTCCAGATCACCAGACTTGGCCACAGCAACGCGTGGCAGGGGACGGCTAGTAATTGTATAAAATTGACTTATTCTGCCTATTTTTCTTCATTTCCTCTAGAGCAGGGGCGAGAATTGTGTTTCCTCTTTCCACCTCCAGATGTTGTTGGACTGCAGCTCCACAGTATTCCTCACCATTTATGGTGAGGGGAGAAAGATGAAGAAGCGTTCAGTCCTATCATTTCCTCTCAATTTTACTTGTGTTTTATTTGCATCTGCATTTAACATGTGGTCAAGAAAATGGCATTGGTGAATGGAAGGGGGAAAGCACCCTCCATTCAAACAGCAGTGATTGAAAACAGGAGCAAGCAGAGGTTAAAAATTTAAACCAGAAAGTCATCAGGATACAGCACCGGGGAGCTGGAAAGGATTAAAGGGAGTGGGAAGAAGGTAATTTATACTGCTCAAAGTTCCTTGGAGACTCTTAAGGTCATCAGCAGTGTAGTAAACTTACGAGAATTGGAGGCAGTTGGAAAGGGGGACCAGCTGACAAAAATAATTGCAATCTATTATGTTTATAAGCCAAAGGTAAGGTTTTCCCCTGACATTAAGTCCAATCATGTCCGACTCTGGGGTGTGGTGCTCCGCTCCATTTCTAAGCCGAAGAACCGGCGTTGTCTGTAGACACCTCCAAGGTCATGTGGCCGGCATGACTGCAAGGTGCGCTGTTACCTTCCCGTCGGAGCGGTACCTATCGATCTGCTCACATTTGCATGTTTTCAAACTGCTAGGTTGACAGCATTTATAATCATTTCAATCTGGAAAATACAACTAAATTTATAAGGTTAAATTCATCTGTTAATCCCAACTAAATGTGGGTTTACCACACTTTCTCAGTGGTTGTGCTCTCGTTGGGCCTCGCTCCTGGATTTAGACCTTTCTTCAATTATTTTCAATCTAACCTTAGTTTTTTTTTCATATTTTCATATTTTGTTTAGTAAACCTTCAGCTGAAGATACAATTTAAAATGCACAAGACATTCACTCTAAATTACATAATCTTATCATTGTTAATTATTGTGATTATACCACTTAGTCATAATAATAATGATTATACCACTTAGGGAGCCCCCGGTGGCGCAGTGGGTTAAGCCACTGAGCTGCTGAGCTTGTTGACCGAAAGGTCGCAGGTT